CTGTGAATTGAAGGCCTCAACGTAGAGAATGCTACAACTCTTCACCACTTTCTGCATATCCATCTTCGATCCATGTACCGCCCACGAAAGAATAGCCTTCTCAGTAGGACTGCCTGAGATTTCAATTTCTGAATCGGTACTAGGCCTGTATACGCTACCAGTTGTATTCAGAGCAACCCCTTCTTGGATCAAATTAAGAACATATGGAGATATAGATGAAAAAGCTTCCTCTGCCACAGGTTCTTCACCCAACCAAAACTTAGTCACCTTCATTTCATTCATGGTGAGAGTGCCTGTCTTGTCAGTACAAATGACGGTAGCAGAGCCCATGGTCTCACAAGCAGAGAGCTTCCTCACCATTGCTTTATCAACCATCATTCTCTTCATGGAATAAGCAAGAGTCAGAGTCACAGCTAGAGGCAAGCCTTCTGGGATTGCCACCACAACAATTGTAACTGCAGCAGCTACAATCTCAACGACCGCGTTTAATATGTCATCAACTTTGGTCTTGCTGCCATTATACTCCTGATTTCCATTCTCATCCTGTGTATTTCCTGTGAAGTATCTAACTAACAAGACAATGAGCACTAGAAAAGCAACAACCAAACCAACTTTACCAATTGATGAAGTTAGCTTGTTGAGGCGAGCTTGTAAAGGCGTCTGTTCATTTGTGTCACGGCTGATTTGGCTCATCATTTCACCCCAAGTTGTGTTCATGCCCACAGAAGTTACAAGCATCCGAGCGTAGCCATCAGCCACTTTGGTGCCAGAGAACAAGAATGGATTTTGGGTTTGATTTATTTCCACATGGTCACTTTCCCCCGTCATGCTTGATTCATCTACTTGTAATGAATGGCCATCAAGAAACAACCCGTCAGCTGGAACTTGATCTCCAATCTTCAAGCAAATGACCTCGCCAACAACAATATCAAATATCGAAATCTGTTGGCGCCTGCCGCCTCTCACAGCTTCAATTTGGACATTGTCACTGACTTTTGATAACTTATCAAACTGCCTGTTCTGCCTGTAATTACTTACAGCCGACACAGAAATCACCAGAATGATTGCGATAAATATGCTTCCACCATCGATCCAGCCTTCGTTAAGGCCATGCACTTTGATCCCGAGACCAAGAGAGAGTGCAGCACAGCCTAAGAGGATGATAATTGTGAGGTCTTTAAAAGCTTCCCACACAAAATGGAAGAACCCTTTTGCTGGTGGCTTCATGTATGTGTTTGAGCCAAAAGCTTCAACTCTTTTGGCAATGTCTTGAGGATCACCATAGCCGTGGATTCCATGCTCTGCATCAGTTTTGAGAGCTGATGCTATTTCTTCAACCCCTCCCAGCTCCCGGAGGTGGTTGAGTCTTTTCTCCTTGACAAGGTCAGTGAGGGTGGTTTGATCAATTTCGAACTCGTTATCTGGCTCGACAGTAAGAGTGGCATAAGAGGGAGAGCGAGGTATTTTGGTGTTTGTGAATTTGGGTTTGGATAGAGAAGAAAGGTTGAAGGCTCTAGAGCAGTAGATGGTTGCAAAAGCAGAAAGCCATTTTCTTTGGTGTTTGCTAAGAGTGCTTTTTCTAACAGCAAAAAGCAATCCAATTTCAATGCACCCCAGTTTCGCATGCAGGGTGGTCGACATGCTGCTGCTCAGCTCAATTGAAAACCGCAAAAGTAAAGAATGTGATGAAAACTAAGGCAGAGAGATGGAAAGACTATTCTGACCAACTCGCAAGGAGTTGTGGACACAAGATTGACAATTCTCAAGGAGAACTGAAAAGTAGAGAAAATGTTTTGGGGAATTTTAAATTGTTTCTAGAATGCAATTGTAGTACGAGGATCACCACGTTGCATGAAGAGGCCTACTTATAATCTTATTTTGGAAGAGGAAGAGCGTGTTTCTCATTGGAAGTCGTAGAGAATACGACAAGACCAAAAGAACTTACACGCACTCGCAGGAGGCTCCGGGAAACAACCCAGAAATAAAGAAGAAAAGAGGACCGCATATGTCAGCTCTTATTTCTATCCGTGTTGACAGCTAGATTTTTATTTTTGAAGCAGACATGAGTTTAATCAAGTTGACTATAACAAATATGTTCCCTACTCCGCACCCATGTTCGGATTCCCCTTCCAGTAGCTTAGATTAGTTTAAAGTATATTATCGCTTGAATGAACAATTTTTTTTAAATAGTTTAAAATATGTTGTGTATTATTAAAAAAAAAAAGAGTTTGTCCAATATAGGTCCCTACAATTTCTATTTCCTAGACATATACTCATCATTCTATAAATGTATGTGTAAAACCCAATTTCCAACTTAAATGACCAGTAGGATATAAGAGGTCATAGTATTCCTATGTTTTTACATCCTTGCCATCAGACTTCATATTTTATTTGTAATTTATTCCAAGCATTTCATTAACTGCCATAATTGTAATTAAAACTCCCTATTAATAACATATCATTCACCCCATTTCTTTTGGTTGCCATTCCCTCTAACATATGGCCCCTTAAAATTACCAAAAAAAAAAATGTAAATTACATATCCAATAATGTACATATGAAAAATATAAATATATACGTATAAAAATATAGGTATACTATTTACCAAAAAAAATTAACAAAAATAGGTCAATTACTTTGTAATTGAAATTTCCGTACATTTTTCATAAATTAAAAATAGGTACACAATAATTTATAGAAAATAGGTACGTTGTATAATTGAAATTTATGCACATTTTTTATAAATTCAAAACAAGTACATTATTTAGAAGAAAAAAATAAGTTCATTATACTAGGTAAATTGTTTTACTAGGTATACATTATTAGAGAAAAAAAATAGGTTCATTATACTAGGTACATTATTAGAGAAAAAAAAATAGGTACATTATTTTGAGAGAAAAAATAGGTACATTATTTTGAGAGAAAAAATAGGTGCAATATTGTGAGAGAAAAATAGGCACATTATTTTGAGAGAAAAAATAGGTACATTATTTTGAGAGAAAAAAATAGGTACATTATTAGAGGAAAAAAAATAGGAACATTATTTTGAGAGAAAAATAGGCTCATTTAAAAAAAAAATTATTTTCATAAAACAAACAATGAAAAGATGATCAAATTATTTTTCATAAAACAAGTAATAAAGAAAAAAGTAGGCACAATATTTGGAGAAAAAATAGGTCCATTAAAGAAAATGTTTTAAAAACAAAACAATAAATAGATTATCAAATTATTTTTCAACATAATTAGAATGTACACTATTATGCATAAAACTATAATATATAAAAATACTGGTCGTACAATTCATAAAAAGAAAACAACATTAATTCCTAAATTTAATATTGAATTTAAATTATTATTACTTTAAATAGATTACTAGTAGTAATTCATAGAAGGAAAACACCATTAATTCAAAAATAGATTACTAGTCGTAAAAATAGATTACTAATACTTTAATGTGGAATTTTAATATTTAATTTCAAATAAGTTTCTAAATTAGTTCCTACATCTATTACAACTATTTGGAGATATTTCCAAATTCAACGGGTGTCATTAGTTACACCCCTCATAACACATTAACTCATAAATACGAGTTGTTTTGGAATCCGAAAAATACAATAAATCAGATTTTAAGTTATATTAGGTAACTTGCTTAGTTGGATCCTAGTCAACGGGTATTATTTGAAAAAAATGGGATTTTAAATAGAAAACTAAAGGAAAGGGTTGTAGGTGATTTCAGTGGCGGAGCCATAGTTGGGTAGTCGGGGTCACACGACCTCTTGGAAGCCATGGAAATAGGCTTGGAGGTCCCTTGGAGCTGCTGGAGCAACCTCTTGGAGCTGCACACCAGGTGCTCGACGAAATCGCTGAAAGAGAAGGCGCTGTGCTAAGCACAGTGCAGGTGTCTTATTTATTTTTTTTAAACAACTCGGGCAAAATGACACTGTTTTGGGCCAGATCATTAAAGTACCCAGCGTATTCCCCCGAACCCAACAAACATTGTGTATGCAAAGAGTCTACAAAGTTGGCAACCACAAGATGAAACAGCAGCATAACTACTACTAGTTTCGAGAGCATGCCAATCGATACGTTCCCCATAATGTTTTGATATGTTTTGTGTGCACTCTTAGCTAAAGAATCATCTATGGAAGTTAAAGCTGGAGAGCTATCTATTTATGAATAATGATCAAATCAAATCAAATGGTTGAGCGATAAACATATATGTGTTTGACTTCAAGTCAAGTAGCAATGCATTTTCATCAATAAAAAAGTGATGGGAAAAAAGTAAAGTAGCATGATCAAATGGGTATTGGACGTTTTCAGCTCGTTTTTGGGACTTCCTCAATTCTTCGATAAACTAATAAACTAAGTAATCTTTCTCGATAAAGTCGGTTGATTGGGATAAAGTTCTAGAATATTAAGGTCGGTAAATTAAATACATAAAAGGTATCTTCAGGCTCAATGTATTATATATCTTTTAAATGAAACAGTACGCGTTGAAGATGATAACAACTGCTGCTGTGCTGGTGCGCTTGTCGGCGAAAATGAAAGCTTCCAATATTAAACGTGTATCAATCGGTGGGCTTGATATTCACAAACTATTCATTTTCTTAGCCGCATCAACTAAGAATAGGTGTCTATTTTCATTTGAACTCGTGGACGACGCACCGTCGCAATACTTATATTAAAAAAATAAAAAAGAATAGTATTTTGGGAAATTCTTCTCTTATCTCAATGTTTGAATATAGTTTCTGTTACAAAAAATTTTGGGGGCTTAATAATTTTCTTTTGGGAATTCTTCCTTTGTAATGAAGTTAACATTTTCTCTCTAGACCTCCCGTAACTTCCTTTGTAATGAAGCAATGCAGTTTTATTATTACTCAAAGGAAAAACAGTACGGTGGCTCTTGGTCCTTATACAAGTCTCACATTTAAAGCTAGACTCATCACACAAACTAAATAATGAAGGAAACAAATGCTTAAGATAATCAAATGATGGATGTCCTAAGCGACGATGCCACTGCCAAAGTTGTTGCTTGTCTTTGACACTGCCACCCTGGACTTTATTAGCGACACACACACACGAACTGCTGCAGTCGGTAACTGTAAGTAATACAACCCCCCTATCCGTTTACCATGCCCAATCTTTGCATGAGTCTTGAGATCCTAGAAAAAACAATGGGTAGAATATAAAGTAGCAGAAGCGTTAAGTGTATCAAGTAAATTCCTAACATACAACAAATTGCAACGAATATATGGAACCAAAAGGGCATGGGACAGAGGTAAAGAAGGAGTGAGGTGGATGGTACCTTCACTGGTAACTGGGGAAGGTAAACCATTAGCACTAGTAATATAGAGGTCACGAGGGTTACGAGACAACTCATCAAACATATTGTCATTATAAGTCATATGATCAGAAGCACTAGTGTCAATTATCCAAGTATTAGAACCCATACTTGGCATGGTATCGGAAGCACACAGATTTGCAGACAGGACCGAATGACGGGTCTCATCTTGAGTCATAATGCAAGCGGCTTTGGGATAGTACATACGAGCTTTGTAGTCAGCAAACCAATCGAGATAACCATGCTCCTTAAAGCACTTCTCAGAGTAGTGATTCCCATTACAATGACGACATTTAGGAGGACCGTCAAGAGAGTTAGGGGTAGAGCCAGCAGGACGCGACCCAGCAGAAGGAGAAAAATTTTTGGATGAGAGGCGACCGGTCGAGTCGTGCTGTGCGACCGGTCGTTGACGTGCTGGGTCGACTTTGAGGGCCATGGAACCTCATCCAAGCATAGCGGACTGACGGGTGTCTTCCTCCATAACCATGGCATAGGCTTCAAAAGGGGGCAAGACAGGACTAAGAGCAAGGATACGACTACGGACACCATCATATGGTGGATCAAGTCTTCTAAGAAAATCATAAACTCGATCGGCTTCAAGTTCTTTCAGACGACAAGCCCTATCATCGGCACAACTATATTCATGTGGACGCAGACAATCAATCTCCTGCCAGATAGCATGGAGTTTTTCATAGAACACTTTGACATATTCATCATTCTGACACGTAAGGATGGACTGCCGTTGGAGTTGAAACAGACGAGAACTATTCTGAGTCACAGTATAGGTCTTCTGGGCGGCCTCCCATATATCAAAAGCAGTAGCACCATGTTTAAACAAGGCACGAACTGGCTTAGTCATGGAATTGAGAAGCCATGACTGCACCAGACAATTATCTTCTTCCCATTCGGCAAAGGTAGCGGAATCTTTAGATGGAGCAGGCCGGAATCTTTAGATGGAGCAGGCCGGAATCTTTAGATGGAGCAGGCCTTTTCCCATTGATCCAACTTGCCATACGACGACTAGTAATTGTAATACGAGCACCACGAGACCAAGAGGCATAATTGGAGCCATCCAATTTGTCAGAAGTAATCGGGGTAGAGTAATCACGCGAGGGACGTTCCTCCTTTGTTGTAGACGCACTAGCACCCACCATGACTTTGAAATCATCACCCATGATAGCAGTGGAAAAAACACAACACGAAGCAGATATGACAAACACAGCACAGTCACAGGCACAAGAACCCTAAAAGGAATTAGAGCACACAGTAGAACATGACTGGGCACAACACACACAGGTCACCAGAAAGTTGGCTCTGATACCAAGTCAAACAATATGGGTAGAATATTTTTCAGATGTATTTCATTCTCCGAAATGAGATATTTATAATACAAGGTTACAAACCCTAGTAGGGTTATACTAGGAAATAAGAAAAGTCCTAATTACATAATATCTATACAAAAAGGAAATAAATAAAATCCTAATAGAATAAGAAAGAAATATCCTAATAAGACTAGGATATCTCGCCAACAAACCCCACAACCGAACCAAATCCACGTGAGTTCCAATTACATCTCATTGTAGTGGGTTTATAATGCTGTAGAGGTTTTTTGGTTTCAAAAGGAGGCTGAGTTTTGTTTTCAGACCTAATTCACCAAAAAATAAACGGTAGAGAGACTAACTGTTAAAGGAAACACATACACGTCACTCTGAGCCAAAGAAATCATACGTCACTAAAAAGAAGTAAGTATGATGCCCTCAAAACTCCAATGGGAGTGGTTAAATGGATATTTTACGGCAAAGATTCAAATTGTGGACTTGACTCGAGTTAAAGTCATGCACAAATTAATTGGTAAATTCTAATACATTAGAGCAGCAATGCAGTGGCATAAAATAAAACGCAAAGAAAAGAGCTCTTTAACTCGGACAGACGAAATAGGAAAATGTTAGGGAGATCACACTTAAAGACCATCTTGTGCATCACATTTCTAATAGATGTGGAACCAGTGGTGGTTCTAGGATCGAAAGTCAACTGGGCAAAACTTACATACTAAACTTGACGTTATGAGTGAATTTCATTAATAACATTAAAAGACACACTTAGTCAAGGAGGACGTAATGAGCCTTACCCTTAAATGCATATTTATCCATAAATAAAAGTTCAACACATACAAAAACTAAAACTAAAACTAAAACCAAAAGTAAATAAAAGAACACTATTTTAAATCTAAAATTTAACCCTGCGAGGCTTAGAACTCTTAAATTCCTAAATTATCGATGCATTGTCGATATTATTAGCAAACTCTCTTTCATCCCTAATTAAACCATACAATACTCAATTTTAAATTAAAAATATAATTAAAGATATATAAAAAATAGGTGGAGAAAGAAGATGTTGATGTCGAGTAGCTAAGAGAGAGAGAAACAAGTTGATGTTGCATAGCCAAAAGAGAAGGAAAGAGAAGATATGGAAATGGAACCACCTAGATAGGCAACTGTGTGTAGAGTTTGCTCTTTATTTTATTTTTATTTTTATTTTGAGCTGGGCTTATAACATATGTGGGTATTTTTTATATTTTATATTTTAATTTTGGTTGGGCAGGCACCCAACCTGCCTTATGCACAGAACCACCCATGTGTGGAACTCATTGTATTGGTGGGCTTCATCTCTATTAGAGAGATGATACATAATGTGGTATAAATGTATTCTACCTAGCATGACCTAGCCAAATAACATAGTAATTACATGCCACTTGTCTTCAATCCGCGTGAGGGGTGACAAACATGCAACGCGTACCAAGCGCCAGATCCAAGAAATTTCTCCATAATTAAGGTTTTGCGGATGGTTCAACTAAATTTTAACTCTAGAAGAATCTTGGGGTCAACTTAAGTTTTAGTTCAATTTTTGTACCAAATTCTTAACAACCTTCACCTGAAAGTGTGATAGAAAACACAGAGAATATATGGTGAGAAAGAATGGTATAAGTAAACTACTCTTATTATGCCATAAAGCAAGGTAATGAATTTCTTTGTCAACCAGACAATTATTTCGTTTTCTGACCTGGTGCTTTGCTTCAGCATTCAACAACCTTTGGTAGGAACTGGGCATTTGCATGGTTGCTTAAGAATAAATTAAGTCTAGAATTTTTAGATCAAGTTGTTTGACTCCAAATATGAAAGGCTCAACAAAGTAAACAATGGGAAGAATAACCTACGTCTAACGCAACAATGATGCCATGTGTGAATCTGAACCACAAAAGAGAGAAACCCCTAAGGCCCTGTTTGGTGGCCAAGACTGGACACGATAGGACTAGATTAAAATTCTAGGATTGGATTGGTAAGGACCACTCAAGAATCCTGTCCATGATTTGGTGCAACACCAGTCTGGACCGAACTAAAAAAACAGAAAATTCGAAAATTATCAAAAAAATCTTCAGAACTGAATTTCATCACACAAAAATTATCAGGGAAAGAGAGGAAGATTCTCATAAACCCTAAGCACCAAATATTACAAAATAGAGAAAGAGGGGAAGATTCTCATAAACCCAATCTAGGAGATGCAAAGATTCTCATAAACCCAGTCTATCAGAACATTGAATTTCACACAAAAATCATCAGATTAATATGAAGATTTTCCCAGACAAGGAGAGAAAAAATAAAAAATAGGAGAAGATAGAGGACAGAGAATAGAAGAGAGGTGAGAGAATAGAGAAGAAGCAAATCACGCACGAACGAGAGGTTGAGGAACCCGAACAGATAACGAGCCAGAGGTTGAGAAACCCGCTGTTATTATAGGCTAACGTCCAAGATCTATATCCAGTCTGTGGTGCACTTAAATAGTGGTGTGGATCTATATCAAATATGTTCATCTTGGTGACGACGTTGTGAAGAAGTTATTTGGTGGATCTATGTCAAATATGTGCGAATTTATTCGTCATCCTCCCTTGGTTTGATGGGGGCTGATTCCAGCGGCGGTGGTGATAGGGTCTTTTTAGTTATGTTTTGTTTGTCTCCGTGAGATTGTTGAATTGTCTCTTTTCTTGGGAGAGTTTTTATTTCGTTATTTATGTTGTTGTGTCTTCAGTTTATCCAAGCGGTGTCTTCTGGCGTTTTTCGACTTTTATCATATATAACTCTATAACTTACCGGTAAGATATATGTGTTATTTAAGATTGTTTTTTTTTGCTAAAAATATGTTTTATTTTAAAATTATTAAGTAGTTTTAGGTGTTTGATAAAAATAAAATATCTCGATTATTTTAAGAACAGTGGCATTTTGACAGCAACATTTAAAAGTATGCTCTAGGTTGCTTTCAAAAGAAGGAGAGACAAGCCTTTAATGAATTTTTAAAATTCCCAAAATACTATTATTCATTTTTAAAATTGACACCACGTCCATGTCCACCTCCACATCCAACTCTACCACCTCCACCACAACCTCTTTCACTACCATCTTCACCTCCATCTCTTTCACATAATATTAGTGCATAACACTTTCAACATCATATCTATTTGAGTCATTATTCACGAATACAACAGTTTTATATTAAAATTTACCAAACGATTTTGACACTACTTTTTGTACTAACAACACTTTAAAAGAATTATTTACAAAACATGATGATGCTTTACTTTACAGCTAATTATTTTCAAAGCACAGCAACAACAACTTTTTTTTTAAAATGACAGCAATCTCAAATTAGCCCATAATCTTTTCACTCTATAACTTACCTGTAGTGTTCTCCATTTAATAGGCTTCCATTTTCCAAAAGCCTTACGTAACCTTCTTTGATTCTTTTTTTATATATATTGTTTTTTTTTCTGAAAAAGAGAAAAACTGTCCCTAGTTTTAAAGAAAAGTGGGTGCTGAATTTTTTTCTCAAATCTTTTTCATTTTAAAAAATTTTGAATTAATTATATTATCCTCGTTTAAAAAATAATAATAATTCTATGTATCTCGTTGAATGAATTGTTTTTTGTAATTGAAATTTTCATTAACTAAAGAATAATGCTACTCTTACCACATTTGTATACCACATCCCTATACCATCTTATGTGGCAGTTAAGGTGGACAGCCACGTCAATTAAAATTATTTAATATTTTCTTTTCTTTTATAATTTATTCCAGTATTTGCTTGTCCAATTGTCTTAATTAAAATACACTTCATTGATTTAATTAATATCACATATAATATGGACATGCCACATCATGTGGTATAGAAATGTGGGATAAAAATGTTGTAAGTGTAGCATTACTCAAATCATAGTATTTGAAACTTTTACCTTAACTTTCCCGTTTGGATAAGGAAAAATAACTCAAAATTTAGCTAAAAGTCGGGAATTTAAGTGGAGAAATTTACAATTCCCTTGTTTTGTAACTTAAGAGCATAATTTATTAAATGACGCAAGGAAAAAAGTGTGGAAATTTGGGCATCAAATTCCTGAGTTTAATTTCCACCAAAATAGGCATCATTTCACAATTTTCATAGTGCAATTTACAAAATTATGTCATTTATAAAATTCAACATACATAAATCCAAACACTGAAATCTTCAATTGCCATAAATTGAAATGATAGAAATCTAAATTCCGTCTTCTTATTTTATATACATCCAAGATTCCTCATGCATAGAGTTTTACTAACATTAGAATATTTATTTATTTTAATTATACATTATTATTCTCAAATTATACTTTCTTTTTTTTATTGTTAATAATAATTTTAGCCTTTATTTCAAATACTTTTTTGAGCAAAAATATACTTGAAAAATAACTCACATATTATTATTCTCAAATTGTCCTACCAAACAAGTTTTCACTGTTTTTATTTTCTGAATCTATTTTCTAATTAATCTACTAAA